GTGACAAATGTTCTGGCATGGACGACATAAAACCGTAACATCTCAAGTCAAGTGAATGATCCTGTTCAAGGCCATTACCTAACGATTTTAAGAGTACAACAGGTTGAAGAAGACGCCAAAAGCATGGAAGAGCTTTTCGACGATTTTGTTGTCCAGAAAAAGTGATGTTGAGGACCTCCAGAACTATCGACCATCATTGTCCAGTCACAAGTTTACAAGGTCTTTACTTGAACCATTCTGAACCGTATTTGGAAGGACCTTGAACTACTCGCTAGTAAGGAAAAAGACGGTTTCCGAATAGGGTTCTCCACTACCCGTCATATCCACTTCTTGAAGCTGACATAGAGAATTGCAAAGAATGGAAATTTCCCCTCAGCTACGCATTCATCGCCTTCAGAAAGAGTTCGATTGCATAAAGCTGAACACTGTACTGAACGCCTCGCACGACAGTGGTGTCTACGTTGACCTGATCGATGAACTGAAAATTGACACCGCAACCGACATAAGGCTGTTCGAGAAACCGTGTCGAGTCAACATCGAAAGAGGAATGCGGAAAAGAGGCATTTTCGTTCCTAAGCTTTCCGCGATGGCACTAGAATTCCCCTTAATCGTTTGAACTGGGGCAGCAGTAATAACATCCTTAGAGTATGGCTCCCTCATCCGCTTTTTACAGAGGAACTCATCATTTTCACCACTGATCCAACGAAACTCCAAACAAAGATTTCTGCAGTTGTAGACGGATTCACTCGCCATTGATCTGGAGGTGAACATCTACAAGACGAAATGGGTGTGCAATAAGCACTGTTCCGCGGATGTCATCTTCACTGGTGACGAAGAAGCAGATAAAATACCTACGTATAACTATGATCAGCGGTGAGATCAGTGGAAGAAGGAAAGCAAAATGGATGAATTTCAATCATATCGAAACTACTGCAGGATAACGAGTTACTGGATAACGAAGAAAGAACTGTTCGACTCAGCAGTCCTACCCCCCCCCTCTTAACCCCATGATTCATGCCGCGGAGTGCTAGGCCTGCCTAGCA